TCTGATCAGGATCCATGCTGTTTGCTTACAAACCCTATTACAAGTAGAGAAATTGATAGCGAACAGCATGGATCCTGATCAGACTGCGCGGATACGCAGGCTGGTCTGGATCCATGCTGGTCACAAACGCACTATGTTGGTTTTGTCGTGATGCGGCTCATATAAATTTAATACTGATGATAGGGACGGATGTTTCAGACAACTGTTACATAATTGCCTGAGAAAATGGCAATTTTTGTAACATTTTCATAGTTAGACTATCAATAAGCACCAGTAACATGGCAAATTTATTTATTTGATCATTTATTACATCTGATTTCCTTTGAACTTAAAATTGTTCTTCTTCAATTCTTCATAATATAATTTCATTCACTACAGTGATATTCTTTATACATTTGATTACCACTTAACATAAGAGCATTTACTTAAAGACCTAGTCAATTTTCACATCTTATGCAGTCCTGTTACTCATCCAAAACATAATAATCAACACCAAAATACATAAAAAAAAGAAAGATCACTAAACAAAATTAAATAGAATTATTACACTCTAATTATTATTAATTTAAGGTCTTTTGTGCCTCCCTAGCAGTCCTTTGTGCCCCTTAGCAGTCCTAAGTGGTCCAGCAACTCATTGAAAACATAAATTCTATCACCAAAATTATATTTTTTCTTAAAGTAATACCTTTTTTGTCATTAAACATACTACCATATATTACAAGAATTTCTTTGGAGGTCCTTTAACGCCCTTTGTGCCTCCCTAGCGGTCCATAGCGGTCCGGCAACTCATCGTAAGCATAATTCTATCACCAAAATTTAATTTTTTCTTAAAATTATACATTTTTTGTCATTAAACATACTAACATGTATTAAAACAATGCTTTAGGAGGTATTTAAAGGTCCTTTGTGCCTCCCTAGTTGTCCTTGGTGCCCCTAGGAGGTATTTTAAGGTCCTTTGTGCCTCCCTAACATTCCTAAGCGGTCCTGCAACTCATCGAAGACATAAATTCTATCACCAAAATTATATTTTTTCTTAAAATAATACATCTTTTTATCTATTAACTTACTACAATATAATATAAAAATGCCCTAGGAAGTAATTTAAGGTCCTTTGTGCCTTGCTAGTAGTCTTTTGTGTACCTGAGCAGTCCTTAGCGGTCTGGCAACTCATCGAAAAAACATAAATTCTATCACCAAAATTTTATTTTTTCTTAAAATTATACATTTTTTCTCACTAAACATACTACCAAATATTATAAGAATGCCCTAGGAGGTATATAAATGTCCTTTGTGCCTCCCTAGCAGTCCTTTGTGACCCTAGGAGGTATTTTAAGGTCATTAGTGCCTCCCAAGCAGTCCTTAGCGGTCCTCCAATTCATCGAAAACATAAATTCTATCACGAAAATTATATTTTTTCTTAAAATAATACATTTTTTTATCTATTAACTTACTACAATATAATATAAAAATGCCCTAGGAAGTTATTTAAGGTCCTTTGTGCCTCGCTAGTAGTCTTTTGTGTACCTGAGCAGTCCTTAGCTGTCTGGCAACTCATCGAAAAAACATAAAGTCTATTACCAAAATTATATTTTTTTCTTAAAATTATACATTTTTTCTCACTAAACATACTACCATATATTATAAGAATGCCCTAGGAGGTATATAAATGTCCTTTGTGCCTCCCTAGCAGTTCTTTGCGCCCCTAGGAGGTATTTTAAGATTCTTTGTAACTCCCTAGCAGTCCTTAGCGGTCCTGCAACTCATCGAAAACATAAATTCTATCACTAAAATTATATTTTTTCTTACAATAATACATTTTTGTCTATCAACTTACTACCATATATTATCAGAATGTTCTAGGAGGTATTTTAAGGTCCTTTGTGCCTCCCTAGCAGTCTTTTGTGTATCTGAGCAGTCCTTAGCGGTCGGGCAACTCATCGAAAGCATAAATTCTATCACCAAAATTATATTTTTTCTTAAAATTATACATTTTTTGTCACTAAACATACTACCATGTATTATAAGAATGCCCTCACAGGTATTTTAAGGTCCTTTGTGCCTCCCTAGGAAATATTTTAAGGTTCTTTGTGCCTCCCTAGCAGTCTTTTGTGTATCTGAGCAGTCCTTAGCGGTCTGGCAACTCATCGAAAGCATAAATTCTATCACCAAAATTATATTTTTTCTTAAAATTATACATTTTTTTGTCACTAAACATACTACCATGTATTATAAGAATGCCCTCACAGGTATTTTAAGGTCCTTTGTGCCTCCCTAGGAAATATTTTAAGGTCCTTTGTGCCTCCCTAGCAGTCCTTTGTGCACCTTAGCGGTCCGGCAACTCATCGAAAACATAAATTCTATCACTAAAATTATATTTTTTCTTACAATAATACATTTTTGTCTATTAACTTACTACCATATATTATAAGAATGTTCTAGGAGGGATTTTAAGGTCCTTTGTGCCTCCCTAGCAGTTGTTAGTGCACCTGAGCAGTCCTTAGCGGTCCAGCAACTCTTCAAAAACATAAATTTTACCACTAAAATGATAATTTTTCTTAAAATAATACATTTTTTGTCACTAAACATACTACCTTGTATTATAAGAATGCCCTGGGAGGTATTTTAAGGTCCTTTGTGCCTCCCTAGCAGTCTTTTGTGTATCTGAGCAGTCCTTAGCGGTCCGGCAACTCATCGAAAGCATAAATTCTATCACAAAAATTATATTTTTTCTTACAATAATACATTTTTGTCTATTAACTTACTACCATATATTATAAGAATGTTCTAGGAGGGATTTTAAGGTCCTTTGTGCCTCCCTAGCAGTTGTTAGTGCACCTGAGCAGTCCTTAGCGGTGTGGCAACTCCTCGAAAACATAAATTTTATCATTAAAATTATATTTTTTCTTAACATAATACATTTTTTGTCACTTAACATACTACCATGTATTATAAAAATGCTCTAGGAGGTATTTTAAGGTCTTTTGTACCTCCCTAGGAAATATTTTAAGGTCTTTTGGGCCTCCCTAGCAGTCCTTAGCGGTCCTGCACCTCATCGAAAGCATAAATTCTATCACAAAAATTATATTTTTTCTTACAATAATACATTTTTGTCTATTAACTTACTACCATATATTATAAGAATGTTCTAGGAGGGATTTTAAGGTCCTTTGTGCCTCCCTAGCAGTTGTTAGTGCACCTGAGCAGTCCTTAGCGGTCCGGCAACTCATCGAAAGCATAAATTCTATCACCAAAATTATATTTTTTCTTAAAATTATACATTTTTTGTCACTAAACATACTACCATGTATTATAAAAATGCCCTCACAGGTATTTTAAGGCCCTTTGTGCCTCCCTAGGAAATTTTTTAAGGTCTTTTGTGCCTCCTTAGCAGTCCTTTGCGCACCTGAGCAGTCCTTAGCGGTCCTGCACCTCATCGAAAGCATAAATTCTATCACAAAAATTATATTTTTTCTTACAATAATACATTTTTGTCTATTAACTTACTACCATATATTATAAGAATGTTCTAGGAGGGATTTTAAGGTCCTTTGTGCCTCCCTAGCAGTTGTTAGTGCACCTGAGCAGTCCTTAGCGGTCCGGCAACTCATCGAAAGCATAAATTCTATCACCAAAATTATATTTTTTCTTAAAATTATACATTTTTTGTCACTAAACATACTACCATGTATTATAGGAATGCCCTCACAGGTATTTTAAGGTCCTTTGTGCCTCCCTAGGAAATATTTTAAGGTCTTTTGTGCCTCCCTAGCAGTCCTTTGCACACCTGAGCAGTCCTTAGCGGTCCTGCAACTCATCGAAAGCATAAATTTTTTTTAATTCTATCACAAAAATTATATTTTTTCTTACAATAATACATTTTTGTCTATTAACTTACTACCATATATTATAAGAATGTTCTAGGAGGGATTTTAAGGTCCTTTGTGCCTCCCTAGCAGTTGTTTGTGCACCTGAGCAGTCCTTAGCGGTCCGGCAACTCTTCAAAAACATAAATTTTACCACTAAAATGATATTTTTTCTTAAAATAATACATTTTTTGTCACTAAACATACTACCTTGTATTATAAGAATGCCCTAGGAGGTATTTTAAGGTCCTTTGTGCCTCCCTAGCAGTCTTTTGTGTATCTGAGCAGTCCTTAGCGGTCCGGCAACTCATCGAAAGCATAAATTCTATCACAAAAATTATATTTTTTCTTACAATAATACATTTTTGTCTATTAACTTACTACCATATATTATAAGAATGTTCTAGGAGGGATTTTAAGGTCCTTTGTGCCTCCCTAGCAGTTGTTAGTGCACCTGAGCAGTCCTTAGCGGTCCAGCAACTCTTCAAAAACATAAATTTTACCACTAAAATGATATTTTTTCTTAAAATAATACATTTTTTGTCACTAAACATACTACCTTGTATTACAAGAATGCCCTAGGAGGTATTTTAAGGTCCTTTGTGCCTCCCTAGCAGTCTTTTGTGTATCTGAGCAGTCCTTAGCGGTCCGGCAACTCATAAAATTTTCACCAAAATAATATTTTTTCTTAAAATTATAATTTTTTTTTCACTAAACATACTACCATATATTATAAGAATGCCCTAGGAGGTATTTTAAGGTCCTTTGTGCCTCCCTAGTAGTTCTTTGTGGCTCCTTAGCAGTCCTTAGCAGTCCTTAGCGGTCCTTAGCAGTCCTTAGCAGTGTTTAGTAGGACCCGACGGAAAGGGCCGAAAAGTTGCGACTGCCCCAAATCTGTTTAGTTTGATTCATGCAAAATTATGAAAACCATTATTTAACCGAACGCATACAGCTACAACCCTTCTATATAGAAAGAACCTAATCAGAACTATTACTTACGGACGAAATTTGCGCCAAAATGTCTCACGTGTCTCTCTAAAATTAACCTCCGTTTCGCAATAATCATATTATAATTATGCATATTTTAGTCGAACCCGGATAAAGCTTAAGAACAATTCGATTTATCTAGTATAAGTAAATCAAGCAATACTTTTAATAAACAAACATGGCGGCGCCCGTGTCCTTCAATATCGAAACTGTCAAACAAAAGTTCAATGAGCTTATAGAATTTGTAAAATTACTGGCTCAAAAACCAACTGATGTTATAGATGTACCAGATAATGAAATCTTGCAAAATTTTTCTAGCCAAGCTACTCGTGAAACTGCGGACTCTGTAGCTAGGCGTGAACTTGTCGCTAAACTGATTTCATCAGGCATCGGTTTAGCAGCGTCAATAGCTTTAACATACTTTGCTGTAAATTACATGACAAATGCCATGGACCCTACTAGAAAAGAAAAACAGAAGTCAAGAGAAAGGGTATGGTATTTTATACATGTCAATGAGTGAATGAATTTGTTCTAGATCCACAGACACTTGGAGCCCGTGCTTCTCGCGCCCCTGAATAATATCGTAAATTTGGTGCTACTGATGGTGCAATAAGCTTTAGTAATTTAATATCAAGCATAACATGTTCTGTATACATGTAAAACAGATCTTTATTGCACTTTGTAACTAAGTAAATGCAGGTTTATTGTACTGTAAACAGAAACAAATAAATTGGTGGTGTTCTACCTATCATCAGAGTGCTTGGAATATTTCCTGAAATCGCCGAACTCATCACATGATTACAGACACACAACCACGTAAGCGGTTTTTCTTTCACTTGCAAACTTTTTCTTAGAGAAAGGCCATTCGCTTGTCACCAGCATCTGTTGTATTGGCTAACCAGAAACCTTGGCTAATCCTTCGTACCTTAATTGCGAATGGCCATTCTCAGTGAAAGTTAGCAAGAGAAAGAAAGAAAAAACGCTTACGTGGTTTTCTGTTGTAATCGTACATGTATGTTTTGCAAAATAGTCTTTTTTATTGAACTCTAGCCTTTCAAGTTTGCTTTGTGTGTTCATTGTTGTAAATTGTTTTTTTTACGGGACAACGTTGTTTACAATGTTGCAACTTCTCGGTGGACTAAGCAAAAAATTTGTTTTAGAATAAGTTTGTGTGTTCGGCATGTTACTATATGCATGGTTAAAAGAACAAGTTGCTATAATTTATTGAAAGTACCATAAGTATGCTACATGTACACATAAAAAATATATAATTTTCTTGAAAAATTGGAAAAGAAATTCGCTTCTCATTGAGGTTAGGGCGAAAATTGCATTTTTTGGTGTTGGAACCCTTGTATATAAGGGTTGTTACATGTTTATTTGGTCTGGGCCTAGTTTTGGTCACAACTGACCCTAATTCTATTATAGAGTCCTTGGCACCGTTACAACCCCTTTTGGTAACAGGCAGAATGGGGGCAAGGATATGGCAGCGCCCTGTGCACTAAAGAATTTCTCAAACTTGTTAGATATATTTTTTATTGATTTTAATGTGATTTCAAATTAATTTATATATATCATACATGTTATCTAAGAGCGCTACAGTCCTCATGGGGCCTGTGGTCCTGCTCAGGCTTTCTGTGTATTATTATTGAGTAATAACAGTTTATGTAGGGCTTTAAAATCGCTTTTCGCGTTTTGCTAAATGCTTATGAAGGAGTCAATAAGACATTTGAGTAAACGTAGTACTAATGGAAATGTCTTATGTTATAGGACTAATCAGAAAGGAAGACATTTCCCTGCACAATTTGTCTTATTGGGGAGGCATATAGTTTTTGAAGCTCTGTCTGTCCTTCCGTCCCTCCCGTAGTGAAGCACATTGTTTTTATGTTTCACTATAATACAGAAGTGAAAGAACATCAAAACACTCGGCCATCTGATTAATACTCGGGGGCGTACAAATCAGATAGCCTCGTGTTTTGATGCTCTTTCTAGTACTATGTTAGCATGAATTAAGATGCAACCAAAATATTAGATGCTATACAAAAGTTTAATTATTGAAATTTATATTTACTTTTGAATAATAATATAACCAGAGATATTCACTGGAGATGTATATGAAAATACTTTTTACATTTGTTCATTTAATAGGAGGACAAGATTAGTTTTATTGGCATTGTTTTTCCTTAAAAGAATGAATGTTTGTGTTTACAGGCTGAAGCAATGTTAAGACAGCTGGGAGTGAAGGATGTGAAGGTAATCTCTACCATTTCTTAAATTTCGTGTCATTTTGAAATACCCACTAATTAAAATTTTTTTATTATGCCCCCACAAACGAAGTTTAGGGGGGTATATAGTATTGCATTTGGGGACCCCCTGGGGTCAAGGTCACTGTTACTAAAAATAGAAAAATGTTTTCCAGATAATAACTAGAGTTAGAAATGAGATATTGTTATCAAACATGGTGTATAGCAAGCTTATATGAAGACCCAGGTTAGTATTGCATTTGGACCCCCTGGAGTCAAGGTCAAGTTCACTGTTACTAAAATTTGAAAAATGTTTTCCCGACAATAAATAGAGTTGGGAATGAGATATTGCAATCAAACTTGGTGTAAAGCAAGCTAATATGTTTGGTGTAAAGCAAGCTTATATGAAGACCCCGGTTGGTATCTCATTTCGACCCCCTGGGTTCAAGTTTAACCCTTTCCCCCATGAGCATATTGTGAAAAATGGCCATTTTCACTGAAAAGCCTCCTCTTACAAGTTCAAACTGCTATGAAACTATGAAAAATGCTTCAATACTAATCAAACTTGGCACAAATGTTGACTGGACCATTGCCTTTGTAACGACATGCTCAGTCTTAAATTTCCTGTTACCATGGCAACGAGGGGACATCTCAAAATTGCCAAAAATCACTTTTTTGCCTCGATTTTTTCCATCAAAATTTATTTCAAAGTGCTGCAACTTCTCAAGGGATTGAGATAGAGTCAAAGGCTTTTCAGCGTTGGTTACACGTTACCTTATGATCAACCTGGGGTCATTTTAAGCCTCTCACAAGTCCAAAATTTTCTTGGCGATGAGGGGGACTCCGCCCCCCTTCAAACCCCCCAAACAGAAGGGGGCACATCCCCTGATGTATTATTTGGATGGGGGACGGCGCCGAAAAAATGGTCACTTTTTTTAACACCATTTCTTAAACGAAAAACAGTGTTTGGGGTCTAAATAGGACATTTTTTCACTGTTTGAGGCCTCAAAAGGGGGGGGGCAAAAAGCCGTCGAAACACGCTTATATAAGGGAAAAGGTTAAGGTCACTTTTACTAAAAATAGAAAAATGGTTTCCGGACAATAACTAGAGTTAGGAATGAGATATTGTAATCAAACTTAGTGTATAGGGAGCTTTTATGAAGACCCCAGTTGTTATTGCATTTGGACCCCCTGGGGTCAAGGTTACTAAAAATGGTTTCCAGACAATATCTCACATTTAGTTTCAAAATATAAATGTATTTTCATAGCATTCTGCTTATAAGAAGACCCAGGTTAGTATTGCAATTAATTGAAATAATTCTTTGTACACAGTTCAACTGTGTTCCCTCTGGGTCAAAATTAGTTTGCGCCACCAAATTCGCCAATCAGAAAAAGTTGGAGCCAATGGCTCCAAAGTTGGAGCCAATAATTCTGTCAATGATATTTCATTTACTTTAGGTTGTGTTCAAATTTTTCTTTAGACCACTTATTTTTTAAAAGTCAAAGTTGCTGGTGGGGGTATTAATCACCTTCAGTGATTGGTCTAGTTTAACATAACCCTTGATTGGAAATAAAAATTATTCTATTCTATTCAGATTACAATAACAATACAATACAATAAGAATTTCACCACAACATATTTAAATGTTAACAAAACAATTTCAATTCAATTCATGATTAATATTCAAATAAAAGGCCAGAGAACGGATCTATCAGTTAGGTATACCGTTATACAGCTGCCAATATTATCTACAATTATTTGCATGTCACATAGCGGTATAGAAAATTTGATATTTAAAAAAAAACAACACTCACTGTAAGTCAAACCCAAGCCAGATCAGATATTTTTGTAAACTATGATAAATTAAGAATATTAATTATTATTTTAGTTATCGATTTTGACTTTTAGTGTAATCATGGGTAATTTTTTCTTTTCTCAAGATGAAGTCTTTTAAAACATGTTCACATTTTCACTGTACATGTACATTTTAAATAAAATTTGATGTTTTATTCAAGTTAACAACCTGCATTAAATAGACGTTATCAGGAATTCGGCAAAGTAGGTTTTTCCCAGCTACATGTAATCTGTAGGTACAAACTAACCTTTTCCGTTATAGCTTCACAGTGAATTACCCGTTAAAATAGATAAGTCAACTGTTTTGCTTATTTTCAAAGCAGTTACTGTAAAAGTTTGTTTGTAACTACGTTACTAGCGGAAAATTTCCAAATATTCTTAATTCCGAAGTAAATTTATTTTGCAGCTGACAGATTATGAGTTGTGTATAGCAGCAAACTTGGTTGATCCGTTGTCAATGACTGTATCATGGGAAGATATCGGGGGTCTAGAGGAAACTATAGAACAAATACAAGACATGGTTATTTTTCCCTTCAGGAGGAGAGATTTATTTCCAAGGTCAAGACTAGTTCAACCACCTAAAGGTATGTTAAACTATCTGGCAGTGTTATAGAATTGTTATAAATTGACTAAAAGGAATATCAGTTTATAGACAGTAATTGCATAGATCCTTACTCTGACATTTTACTTGAATAGAAATAGATTTTACCACTGATTTAACTTTGACATGTGCAGCAGTGCTCTTTTGTTGACAAATATTTGTGGTGATATTTTCATTGTAATCCACCAATCTGATAATTAGAATTATAAAGGTCAGGGATCTATGCATACATAGAGAATACTGAATCTATTGAACAAGTTAAATAAGGTGGCATGCATAATACTATTTTCTTCAACAAGCGCAATAAACTTTGTAATGCAGCTATATAAATATAATATTAATCAAAAGCAATTTACAGTCAAAAAGAATATTTTGTTAATATGCACATAATTTGTTTCTTTTTTAAAGAAACAAGTCTAAACAGTTCAACTTTTCCAGTTCAACTTTTCACAAAAGTTGAAAATGTTTAATTTTCTGGCAGCTGTTTGGAATAAATCTTTGGAAATTTGAATAAAAGAGGTTGTTGGATTGGCATTGGAGCCTTATAATGGCCCCATGGTGATTGGGCAAAATGCCATGTTTTCTGTTATAGTATGAAATATGGTAATTTAACAAAACAAATGAGCCGTGTCACGACAAAACCAACATAATGGGTTTGCGACCAGCATGGATCCAGACCAGCCTGCGCAGTCTGATCAGGATCCATGCTGTTCGCTTACCCAATCTATTACAAGTAGAGAACCTAATAGCGAACAGCATGGATCCTGATCAGACTGCGCGGATGCGCAGGCTGATCTGGATCCATGCTGGTCGAAACCCATTATGTTGGTTTTGTCATGACACGGCTCAAATATTATATCAAGAATTCCCCTCTGGTTGGTTGTCTGTTTACCTGTTACATTATGCAGATATTAGTTGTAAAACACAGCTTTTTACAATAATAAACTGACAGTTATTAATATCAAGTGAGATAGTCTGATAAAATTATAAAGATAAGTTGGCAACAGTTTGATATACAAATACATGAAATATCAGTTTTATTATAAAATCATTGTGTATTTATAGGGAGAAGCCATAGATGTGTAAGAAATATTTGTCATTTTGCAGGAAATAATAAGAAGTTGCCAGATTTGTTTGTCCTTGTTTAATGTCAATTTTAAAGGTGTGGGTAGCTTACCTTGACATACATTATGTTTATGTCTTTCAGATTTTTGAAGGTCATGTTGAAAATTAGATATGGCCTGAATGTACTATAACTGATTGTATTTTTTACTGACATCTTTATTGTATTATATAAGATATTTTTATCTAGGTGTGTTATTGTATGGACCACCTGGTTGTGGGAAAACAATGATTGCTAAAGCTACAGCAAAAGCTGCTGGTAGGTTATAATAATATACTACTGCTTTTAGTTATTATATCTTACTTCATTAGAAGAGGTGAAATAAACCAAAAAAATAATTTTATTTTAATATTTTAGACCAGTAAAGCTGTCTAGAAATGACACATGGTTTATTCATTATATTCCATCTATAGATCTGATACTGTTGTGCATTGATGATAAACTATAAACTTTGATATATTATAGAAAATTTTTCAAACACATTTACATGGTTTAAGTTAATAGCGTTTTCAATTTGGTCATTTTCCACATTTAAAATAATTATCCTGGAAAAATGGAGTGAGCGAATGATCTGAAATTTGCACATAAGTTATGTGTATAAAATCCTTCATCAAATGGAACAGTTATCTCAAAAAATTATTTCCAGTCAAAAACCTCTGTGAAGTCTCTTTAAGGATTGATATCATCAGAATACATATTTTGTTTAAGACTTTTAAAATATCTGTATGATAATGATGAATGAAATAATTGTTACTTCTCTAAAATAGACATGATGTAATATTACAGGTGCAAGATTTATCAACCTTCAAGTTTCATCACTGGTAGATAAATGGTATGGCGAGTCACAGAAACGAGCTGAAGCTGTATTCTCATTGGTGAGATACTAAACTATATCAACCAATCATTCAAGTCTGAACATATAAATAACAAATATGATATTATTCATTGAAGAGTCTGTCTGTAATGCATGTTTGAGGCATCAAACTGATAACAGCTGTCTGAAGCACCATTGCTTGCCCGTGTGTCCGTATGGCCTATGTCATGTCCGCTTCTTGATCCATTATTTTAGGCAGCGACATTCAACATCCTAACATAATTCAAATAATGGTCTAATTGGCCTCCTGTGCATTTTTTCACTAATAATAACTAAAATTAATTACATTCCTGTTGGGTTCATTCAGTGAATTACAGAATTTCCATCAAATAGGTCACCACTTTCGATTTTAATACATTTTAAGGGGATGACTGGTGACATGCCCTGGGTCTGTTGAAAGGGCGGATGGACCCTCATTAAGCATAGACAACAAAACAATTTACTGAAGAAAATTAAAAAGAAATACAGAAAAACAAATTTCTTACTGCACACATCACTGCTTGGTATATGTTTAGTTTAGGCTATCTTAATAATTACATAATTGTTTTTAGGGGATGTATGAAATGCACATATTTCTGTATGTTCTCTCATTTTAGGGGAAAATTGATTCCATGCTTTAGCTCTGTACTATAACTAAAAGAAATATTGTTGATAGCGAATGTTTTACAAATAACAGTCATATAAATTCCCTTATCAGTTTATTAGTCCCCTACCGGTTTACCAGAGGGGACTTTAGGTTTACCCTCCGTCCGTCTGTCCGTCCGTCAGTCCGTCCGTCTGTCCGTCCGTCAGTCCGTCCGTCCACAAAACTGGATCCCGCGATAACACAAAAACTACTGAAAATATTTTAATGAAACTTGATATATGGATAGATGGCAGTATGGAGATTATGCACGTCTTTTTCTTTTCTTCCTATGTTGAAAATTCTGGTTGCTATGGCAACAAATAGACTGAAAATATGGCAAATTTTACACATAACCTGGATCCCGCAATAACGCACAAAGTACTGAAAATATTTTTATGAAACTTGATATATGGATAGATGGCAGTATGGAGATTATGCACGTCTTTTTCTTTTCTTCCTATGTTGAAAATTCTGGTTGCTATGGCAACAAATAGATTGAAAATATGGCAAATTTTACACATAACCTGGATCCAGTGATAACACAAAAAGTACTGAAAATATGTTTATGAAACTTGACATATGGGTATATGGCAGTATGGAAATTATGCACATCCTTTTCTTATCTTCCTATGTTGAAAATTCTGGTTGCTATGGCAACAAATAGACTGAATTTCAAGATTTCTGATTCTAGTTTTTAAGTTTTTTCACTATAAGTTCTTTATTTCTTAAGGTATTTTCTTCAAACTTTAAACATAAGTTGCTTGTAATCAACCACATCATATGTGACAAGGTTTACAACTCTAGCACAAAATTTATCAGAATTACCTCCCTTGAACTTAAAATTTTCATGAAAAAACATTGTTTTTTTTTTTTTTAAACTTCTTTTTCTGAATGTATCTACTTCAAACTTCATATAAATGTTTCTTATTATCACTCAACATTTGTGATGGTCCAATACTCTAGCAAGACTATTTCCAGAATTATGCCCCTTTTGAACTTAGATTTTTTTTTGAGAAACTTCTTCAATCATGATAGGATTTTAAAAATGATATATTTTGATAACAGGGATGTTTAAAAAATAACTTTAGAGTGTCCTTCAGTCCGTCTGTCTGTACATAAAAACTGTTTCCTGTGATCACTTTTAAAGAACTTTTTCAACAAATTTACTTAAAATAGGAACATAAGTGAATGGCAAATGGCCCTTCAGAATGTTGCTTGGGCTCTTACCGGTAGGGGACTTATGGATTGCTTGCAATACTATGATAATTGCTTGTTATTTTTGTTTCACTGATTGTTAATTTTTTAGTTAATAAATATTTTACAGTTTAAGCCCCATGTTATGAAAACGTTTTGCAACATAAAAATGTTAATTGTGAATGTGTTATGTTTTGTAGGCATTGAAACTTCAGCCATCTATCATATTTATAGATGAGATAGGTGAGTGATGTTTATAAATTCTCTACATTACATCAATTAAAGTGGATTTTCCTACAATAAGAACATTTTCAAGAAGAATTTAAAATATTTGTTATACCGTATTTATAAAAAACAATAGAAATATGTCCTTTGAGTTTTCTCTTAAAAGATTTCTTTAGAAAAACAAGATTTGTCAAACCAAAAGGTGACTTCAGTATGTTTTTTTCAGCTGAGTACAAGCATACATATATCTGTACGGATACAAAACGTTACATAAAATAAAGATACTTTGAGACTCAGCAAATATGAGGTTTCCCATTAATTTTAGTCCCAGGGTAAAGATACAATTTTATCAGTTACAACATAGTTGATATATATCAAAAAATTAAGCGCAACATATTGATCACTATATGAACAGTAATGCATCATGAAGCTGTAGTACTTGTCTGAATATATCTTTTGTATTGTTAACCTGATAATTTTATTCAAGATCTTCAGAAAGTGAAGATTATAACTATGCAGTATAGCAAGTTTACCCTATGGTAACAGAACTAACACATTTGTACATATATGTTGACAGATTCATTCCTGAGAGTAAGATCATCAAACGATCATGAGGCAACATTGATGATCAAGACACAGTTTATGAGTTTCTGGGATGGTCTAATAACAGATCCATCATGTCAGGTTATCATTATGGGAGCCACAAACCGACCACAAGATGTTGATGCTGCTATATTGAGAAGAATGCCCTGTACTTTTAAAATTGGAATGCCTGTAAGTCACTGGTCACTCACAGGGCAATATAACTATATGCTAACGCAACGTTGGTGGTTTTACTCAGATGGTTCGTGTCTGAAATACTGCAGGGAAGGGCTCCTGAGGTCTGCTTCCACCAGTAAAGCTGGAACGTTGCCATGTGATCTATAATGTGTTGGTGTGACGTAAAACCCAATTAAAACAAAACAACTACATATATATGCTAAGTTAAGAGTATTTTTTTTTCAGTTCAACTTTGTCCACACTATAAAAGTTAAAATAATTAAGCATGAAGATTGATAGGAATTGTATTAAAGACTGTCCTTTGACTTGGAAGTTATAATGCAGAAGGTGGAGCTAATTGGAAAGCTTTTTTGAAGTTTCTGACACATTAGATGGTCATTCTATCAAAACATTTCTTTGCCCAACTTGAAATATACATAGATTTTAGTATTTTTTCATTATAAATGATTCAATACAGTTACCTGATACAAGACACCTTTCTGTTAAAAAACAACATGTAAAGCATACAAAGTTACCTATAATGCCTTGATCTTACCTAGATAAATGACATGTGTTTAATGAGCCTCTATATAAATCATACCATTGATGTCAAAGTTAATCCGAACCAGAATAATTTACAAAGTGAATTGAGTGTCAATCACAGATTTATTTACTAATCCCCATATTGTTTTCCCATATTGACAAGGGCTGAGACATTGGATACATTTCATCAAAGGTTATAAAAATTATAACATTGCCCTGCTCAGGGAACTGTTAATTCATTGTTGCAATAATTTAGTTGAGCATTATAGGCCAGGTATAAGTCTAAGATTTCCAGAAATCTATATTTAACATTGTTATTTTACAGGGTAGACAACAAAGACGTGGAATATTGTCTCTCCTCATGGAAGATGAAGAAGTATGTATTTTCTTATACTTTAATAAATTGAAAATTCTTAGTGATCAAATAAATCCTTTTTACAATTTTCCCTGAAATAATGTGAACGATTGATTTAGCTAATCACATTTAACCCTTTACTGCATGACCATTTTGTGAAAAATGGCTGTTTTCTTTGAAAAGCCTCCTGTTACAAGTTCAAATTGCTATGAAACTATAAAAGATGCTTCAATATTCATCAAACTTGGCACAAATGTTGACTGGACCATAGCCTTTGTAACAGCATGCTCAATCATAAATTTCCTGTTACCATGGCAACAAGGGGACATCTCAAAATTGCCAAAAATCACTATTTTGCATTGATTTTTTCCATCAAAACTGATTTCAAAGTGCTGCATCTTCTCAATGAATTGAGATATAGTCAAAGGCTTTTCAGCATTGTTACACATTACCTTCTGATCAACCTGAGGCCAATTTTAGCCTCTCACAAGTCCAAATTCTTCTTTCAACAACATTTCTCAAACGAAAACAAGTGTTTGGGGTCTAAATAGGGCCTAGTTCCCTTAAAAAAATGTTGTTTATTGCACATCACAATATTAATATGTGTATTTTAGGTAGATGCTGATATAGATTATTCTAGACTAGGGGACATAACTGAGGGGTTTTCAGGCAGTGATCTTAAAGAAGCCTGTAGAGTTGCTGCCCTTAACAGAGTACATAGTTATGTTAGTGCTGCTAGATCACAGTATGGTGATAATTACTGGTAAGTTATACATTATACTTTAATGGCTTTAACTCTGTATATATAATTATAATGTATACTTTATTTTGATTACTTGATTTTTGTGTCGCCTCTACGGAGTAGTGGCGACATATAGGGATCACTTCTCCGTCGTCTGTCTGTCCGTCCGTCCGCCCGTCACAAAACTTGTCCGGACTACTCCTGATAAACTACTGGTGCAATTTCATCCAAACTTTACAGGAATGATCAGTACCAAGTTTAGGTGTGCATATTGTCAGCATTTTCCGGTTCAATGATTTTTGTCAGAGTTATGACCCTTTAATAATTTTTATTTTTAAAGTTTTGTCCGGATTACTTCTCTTATACCACTAATGCAATTTCAATGAAACTTTACAGGAATGATCTGTAGCTCAAGTCCTTGCGCATATTACACGGGTTTTCCGGTTGAATGATTTTTGGCCAAATTATGGCCCTTTGATAAAAAGGTGTTTTTTTCTGTGTGTTGCCAGATACACAAAAGCTTGTCCGGACTACTCCTCATAAACTACTGGTGCAATTTTATCCAAACTACAGGAATGATCAGTACCAAGTCTAGTTGTGCATATTGTCAGCATTTTCCAATTCAATGATTTTTGTCAGAGTTATGGCCCTTTAATAATTTTTATTTTTAAAGTTTGTTAGGACTACTTCTCTTATACCACTAATGCAATTTCAATGAAACTTTACAGGATTGATCTGTAGCTCAAGTCCTTGCACATATTGCACAGGTTTTCGGGTTGAATGATTTTTGGCCGAGTTATGGCCCTTTGATAAAAAGGTGTTTTTTTTCTGTGTGTTGCCAGATACACAAAAGCTTGTACGGACTACTCCTCATAAACTACTGGTGCAATTTTATCCAAACTTTACAGGAATGATCAGTACCAAGTCTAGTTGTGCACTGTCCGTCTGTCTGTTTGTCCGTCTGTCACAAAACTTGTCCCAACATGAAATTGGCCATCATGAGGCGACAAATGTGATCACTGATCGCTCTTGTTTGTAAGGTTATGAGTTTAAACAAATCACTGTTCACACCCTGATAATAGCAATGTGAAAACTATAATAAGTTATTCACTTGAAATAAGTTAAATAAATAGCTTGCAACAGTTATAAATGCTGACAATCTTATCTATAGGTTAACATTGTTGTGAATGTGTTTTGCTAAATTATAACACTTTTTTTATGTTTTTATCTTGTATATATAGTGAGAGAATTGATGGACCAATGAGGAATATTAATGTACAGGATCTGGAAGTTGGGATCAACAAAATACGTATATCTAAACAGACAATGACTGACTCTATATCAAATATACAGCTGGATTAACTATAGTGAAGATATACTCAGTGACTTGTGTAATATACAGCAATTAATTCTGTGCCAATCAATCAACAATATTACATTATTGTATCATAAACTGTAATTATTTGAGCTTATATGTTCGATTGTTTACTCATCATTAGACCATTACTAAACATTTTATCATTTTTAGATGTACTTATTTTACATAGAGGATATTTGATTGTTTTGCATGAAAGATTGAAATAGTTTCCACTGAGTGAGCACCAGATGCAATATTTCTAAATAGAATAGCTGGTGTTCACGAATGAAATATATTTCAATCTTATAAAACAAATAAATTTTCTTTTTATTTCATACTTTTTAAGTGATTTTAAGTACTTTTTACTGATTTTGCCGAACCGCCTCCGTGGTCGAGGGGTTAGAGTCGATGACTTCTAATCCAGTTACCTCTCTGGCGTGGGTTCGATCCCCGGGAGATGCTTTGGTAGTTTAGCGCGGAGGAAGGTAGTTTAGTACTGGTGTAACTCTCCAGGAACGATGGTTAGGAAACTACCCGCCTATATGACTGAAATACTGTTGAAAAAGGCGTAAAATGAAACAAACAAACAAACTGATTTTGCCGCGTAACGTCGGGCATTCTCCTTTATGACGTTATCACATTATGACATCATGTTTGAAATATAGTTCTGTTAAATTTCTCTAATTTTGTTACATTTTTTACATGATGAATGATGACATCGACTTTCTTTTCCTAAAGAAGTAAAATTTACGTAGGACGTTATATTTTTTTGTATGACTGTATATTTTTTTGCTTGTTATTCCATTTAGTTTTGATATTCTTTTCATCCACATTCAGATATAGTCTGGCTACAGTGAAAATAATATTTTATAAATTTCACTAGTGGTTTATTAGAATATATATTGATATATTACAGTAAAACACCGGAAAACATGAAATAATATATATCTAAACTGATTAAGGCTTCATAATATGATACAGCATAATATCATTAGTTAACTTGTACCATAATAAATGTCTGACATGAAATTCTCCATCTTTTAATCTTGACAAGGCCATTCATTGTTTTTTTGTGAAAATTAAAAGTCAAGTACTATCTGGATAGTGAACAGTGCAGACCAAGATCAGACTGCAGGGATGTGTCAGCTTAACTGTAGTTAGTTAGAGAAAATATCTAATTTTGCTGTAATTTACAGCATGGATTATTAACCTTTAATTTTCTTATGAACACATTTCATTCATAAAAGGCACACAGAATTATGTATTTTAAAGCATGTGACCTGTCTTGCACAGAGGGTGTTAGACAGGGTTTTCTAGCACTGGTGTAGACAATCTTGCCTGATATACAAGAAACTCATGTATTCAATTTTAACTTCTGACAACAAGTAAAGTTTGGTAGATTATTGTTTGCTCCTACGCTCCTACATATAGATATAATCACTTCCAGGCACCACTTATGCTTGCTTTTACATACTAGGTGTGGCATTCTAAATTATCATATAACTTTGTAATCGTGAGCTTATCAAATAAGATTATATAATTATCATCCAATGACAATCTTAAATGTCAGACAGTCTGTCTCCCACAAATAGTAAAAAAGTGAGACATATTAGAACACAAGAATACTAGAATGTCCCAATACTAGAACATTTAAACTATCTGCTTAATCAGGTAAATATAGCAATCAAAAAGTCAGGCGTTATTTTATTTTCAGTTTCTTTATATACATAAATATATAATGTTGACCTAACTGACCAATATAGGAAGACAATCGGAAATCTGTGGAAAAATAACTTAAAAACATAACAACTTTTCGTGGTAAACACTTCTGAAAACGTGGCAAATGGCAAACAATGCCACTGTGGGTTTCCCTCAATGTCATTTCATCACTTGTTTTGTCTGATTTGTATGTATAATAAATGATGGAGAAGAAGGCCAATAGGTCAAAAGCTAAGTAAATTCAAATTAGCATTTAAATTATAATAATGTATGTAAACAATGTGTACTGTTTCTTAAATTCATTCCATTTATAGTGTGATGTAAGATGATTTTTTTTGTAACATTTTTTATCATTATATTTAAACCTTTAATTCCATTTTTACTTGACATCACCTGAAAGTTTTCTTGTATATAACAGTGTTGTTGTAGTTGTAGTAAAGAAGATTCATTTACAAAATTATAATTTATTTTGTCTGTCACAGGTAATTTTGAGTATTACAGCTTTTTATCTTGCAAGGTGTTCATCAAACCTGATTATTATCAGTTACTATTTTGATGAAAACCTTGCAAGACGAAAGCTGTGATAAATTTATGGCTTTAAGAGATCTTTGTACAGTATTAGAACTTTTGTCTATAGTATACATAAATTGTACATGTATATTGTACATGTGAATTGAATGAAATAATAGTGTTGTTTGTATATTGATATATTTATTGTTTATTAAAGTTGAACTAAAGTAGACTTGTGTGACTATTGTATTTTAACTTGTGATGTATGTAGTAGTATCTGGAAGAGGAGGTGATGAATATTAAGTTTCAAATCACATCATTATAGGCTAGATCTTATTGTTACTTTACTCCTACAGTTTTGTCCCCCATTTCTGAGAAATCATTGTTGCGCACCATTTCTATGGGTATTGCTGTTTTAGATGACTACATGGTGAAAAGTTCAAGGTACTTAACCTTTTCCCTTATATAAGCGTGTTTCGACGGCTTTTTGCCCCCCCCTTTTTGAGGCCTCAAACAGTGAAAAAATGCCCTATTTAGGCCCTATTTAGGCCCCAAACACTGTTTTTCGTTTGAGAAATGTTGTTAAAAAAATTGACCATTTTTTCGGCGCCGTCCCCCATCCAAATATCGCCAAGAAAATTTTGGACTTGTGAGAGGCTTAAAATGACCCCAGGTCGATCATAAGGTAACGTGTAACCAACGCTGAAAAGCCTTTGACTCTATCTCAATCCCTTGAGAAGTTGCAGCACTTTGAAATAAATTTTGATGGAAAAATTCGAGGCAAAAAAGTGATTTTTGGCAATTTTGAGATGTCCCCTCGTTGCCATGGTAACAGGAAATTTAAGACTGAGCATGTCGTTACAAAGGCAATGGTCCAGTCAGCATTTGTGCCAAGTTTGATTAGTATTGAAGCATTTTTCATAGTTTCATAGCAGTTTGAACTTGTGAGAGGAGGCTTTTCAGTGAAAATGGCCATTTTTCACAATATGCTCATGGGGGAAAGGGTTAATTCCTTGAATGTTGTCTACTATCAAATTTTACCAGAGGTCGAAGACCCTTGGTGCTGATTTACAGGCACACAAGTAGAATTAAGACAGACAGACGTTTCAGTCAAATAAAGGCATATCGGGCTTATCAGCCCACAATGACTGTTGATGTAATGACAGTATATTTATAGTAAAACAACATCTCATTGATTGTAAGGTAGATTCAATACTTGAAGTAATTTAATATCAGTAGCTGAAGTCAAAATCACAGAGATGACTTAAAAAATTTACAAGTTGTTTCACTTAATCTCCTTGTCATGGAAGTCTCCATTTTATCTGTTTAACTTAATCACCTGTTCTTTTTTTGAAAAAAGGTATGGTTACAAACTTGTGTTAAGTTACATATATCAGAATGTTTACAAAAGCATATAGTTCCATTATTTATTCTATGGTTCTGTTCACTTTATCTTACTGAGCTGTTTGCATTAATTATCTCCAGTTGCCTTAAGAAAGTTTTCAAGTTCAATGTTTTTCAACTTCAACAAATAGCAATATTCTAGCATTTTACTCTTTTACTGAAAAATACAAAAAGTCACCACACCATGAACTTGATGAATATGTAAAATGTTTTTGCTGGGTTGGAACACAGCTTTAAAAGGACTCCATGGAGGTTTTTTGGACATGACAGGACTTAATATATTGTTTCGAAATAATTGTTTCAAAATTTCTGAAGAATCACACACTGTTTTACCAGAATAATTATACTAATTGTGGAAAAATGACACAAAATTGAAAATTGTTGCAACACTTAACACTTTTCATTTAAATGGAATAAGAATAGCTCAAAAATATGATTTTAAGTATATTCTGAGTATATATTTCTGAGTATATTTCCTAATTAAAAAAAGTTGCCAAATGTGTCAACCTCTTGTATGGGGTATGGGGTAAGGGATCTGTCATAGAATTTAAAAGAATTCCATTGAGGTTTTTTGACATGACTGGACTGGCAATATTTTCCGAGATTTATGTAACATTTCATTTAAGTAAAGGCGAATAGCAATAAAATCAGACTTAAATCGGCCAAAAACGATAAACAATTCAGTTCTGAGTATGTTTCTTTGTTATCCCCTGCAGATTATTCAATTTATAAGGCTTCCCTTGATCTATGTATGAATTTCAAATTTTATGTTTGAGACTTTTTTACCTTAGGTAGCGTCATTAAATACATTTTCCCAGACAAAATGATGGAATATAGAATCTCCATCCTGAGAAAATTGATGATCCAAAAATATAGCCATGTCAATCAAACTTAACATATCAAATATTTTTGATGGCACCTCTATTGGTAGAAAAAGCTAAAAAATAAAATTAGAATTTATTACGTAGATCAAGTGAATCATTTAAAACTAAACAAAATATAAGAGAAAAAAATCATAATAAGAAATACATTGAAAAATCATATTTTTGACCTGATTTTAGTGAAAAGCCTTTTAATACTATTCATTTTTAGGTCTTTTTTCAAAATTTAAATGAATATTTTGGAAAAAACAGAGAATGATATGAAATTTTGCACACAAGTTATTAGTCCAGATCTTTATCAAAATACAAATCTTGTAAAAAATGTATCCACTCTTTTGTCAACAAATCTCAGCTGAGTTTCTGTAATTTTTGTTTTATGACTCTAAATTTTATCATTTTAAGTACATCAATCATGAGGTTGAATTACTTTCAGTTTTTATTTGAAATAACATTTTTGTAGAAATTTGATACATATAAATTACCTTTGTAAGCTATTCATTAGCTTGTAAACAGTACCTGTCTGATAATTCTGTATTTAAATATGTCATGATTTATACCTGTCATTAAAATGAGAAGGTCTGAATTAGTAACTTTATCTCAAATTGTTGTTTTTGTTGTCCGCAATTTCATCTTTATCACTTTAAAATATTTCTTGTCCATTAATGACCTTTTACCCATTCAAGGGCAGGTAACAGTGCGCCTGATATCAATTTTGTTGTAATGTGTTGAAAGGTACAGTTTAAAACTTCATTTGTTGATTGTTTGCAATATAGATTGGACAAACAGGAGTTACCAAGCTTGTAAAATTATATTTTCAGGTAAACAAGATGTTTTGTTTACAGAAAAATAAATCATATTTGAAGATGACACAAAAATAGATTTTTGACAAGTTTCTGAAAAATGGTCATAACAGATAAAAAAACATTAATAATGAATTGATAAGGGCAATAACTCTTGTATTAAGTCTAGAAGAATTGTAAAACTGGTTAATATAATCAGTGGTTTTCAAGATAAACATGAATTAATGAGTTAATGATAGAAACCTTATGATATTTCTTTTCACCTTGTATTTATGTAAAGGGAGGTAATAATGTGGGAAACTTATTATCTTAGTTATTCAAGTTAAGAAAGAACTCATTCATGTTGATATTTGCATTATTTTATTCTTATCACATCAAAATTACAGTATTGAAACAATACATGGTAGCAAACTCATGGAAACTTTCCATTATTATACAAACATAAAACGGTTACAAATTGTAAATATATATATAATAAAAGGAAAGTTCTGTCTTAAAGTAACTTACACACATCTGATACAGGCATGTCCTCTTTATTGTTGAACTGCTTACACTTATAATGTTTTCTTTTAATAATTGTTCTCTCTCAAATTATCATTAATTATAGTAAATATTATAATTATAGAGGTAGGAATTGAACATATATCTGATAATACCTGTAATATTTTTTTGCTTTTGATTCAGCAGTTTTACATCATAAAAAGGAACATTGCACCAGTACTATGATAGCATAAGAACTTAAGACCTGTGGAAAGCTATGTATAAAATAAATAAAACAAAGAAGAACATAAAAAATTTACATCTTAAATAAGAAACATATCTTTTTACACTGTGCCATATATAGATTTAATATACAATTAACAAAATATTAAGGCATGTAGAATAACAAAATCAAAACAACAATACTACAGCTTGTGACAACAAAGAAGTTTAGCATACTATAAAATTAATGCAGTACATTCATACCTGTACAAAACAATATAGCAGCCAGTAACCAGTTCTACCTTCATTTGCTAATCTTTTACATACAAGAACCACCTTTAGACATACAATTTTGATTATAAGACCAAATTTTTTTATTATTTGCTTCAAAAAAATGAAAATAGACTTATTATTTTGTGTGTTGAAAAAATAATAATATTAATACATTCGGCCTATAGGAATATATAGTTAATTATATCTAGTTTTCTAGTAAGGGTTATTTTCTACTTTGTAATAGATTCTCGTCTATTCATGAGATTTTGAATGAACAATAGAAATTAAGAATAGTTCTTCCGAAATGTTGTTGAATGTTTGAGATTGTAGACAGTGTGTTTTCAGAAACATATAATACAAAAAAATGTTGGCCTTAAGTCATTATATATATGTATATAAATATTGCCTAGCACCAGTGATTATAGGTATGAGGACATGTAAACATACATCTAACATTGCCCAGGTAACACACCATCTTGATATGAGGTTTGGTTAATTGATAACAGTGTCTTTTATTACCTATGTAATAACTTTATGGCCAGCAAAACATATTGAACTCTGTTCAGCAAATATCTGACTATCCACTGACTCTAGCAATTGTTCCAGAGAGAAAAAGTTATTAGAACATTATAAACATTATATGAAAAATTTGAAAGTTGCAACTTTATATCTGACTAATTTTAAGGATGATATAACTTATAAGTGAAATTCTAGCTCTGAATATAAAATATATACTTGACATTACTGTATAATATATATAATATGGTCCTCGATACATAATATACTTCTGGTTAGTTAGAAAGTCAGACGGACAGACAGACATTTGAAGCAGACATTCTGGCCCAGTTATTTAATATTTTTGTTTAACACATCTTGAGAAAGAAATTCTTAAAAAATTCTCTATGAAATTGAGAAGTCTTTATTATACACAATCATCTGGCAATGTGTAGATATTAATGGGAAATGTTGCAATTAACAAAACAACATACCATAGAAAGTTAATTACATTTCATATATAATATACAGTATAGTATATATAACATGTGGTAACTATTTTCTCTATGTCTCAGTGGAATAATAATACTCAGGAATGGATGTGATAATGACATATATACAGAAAACAATATTATATACCCCCTATACTGATTAACATGCAGACTTCAGGCCATTCACAATATATATCCTATACAATTTAACATCTTTCAAACATTTGCATACAGTCACACCTATATTTAAGACACATGGAAAAAGGTAGTAATACACTTTTTCAAATATGTATGTATTTATTGAGACCACCTGTCACCAGGTAAACAACTTGTTTAAGACTTTAAGAACTTAGTAATAACTCAGCTGCATCCACTTGCACTAAATGTCAAAAACAAAGATTAATCAACAAGTACTTTAGCATATTTCAGAGCCACTGTTAGCCATGTTAAATTTATTTTATACAGATTTGACAGCATACATATTATTAATGTAGATGTATGTAAATATTGAACTACATTTGCTATGTTCTCTTAAATTATAATACAAAAAAAAAACATGTATCATTCATCATTGTATTATAAAGGTTTACTATAGTAATAATTTTTGTTTTCAAACTCTTCAATTTTTACACATATATTTAGATAAATGCATGTACTTAAAAAAAAGATATAACAGTTTAAGTTCATACAATAGACCATGTATACAATTATATGGGAATTACATATATACAGTGATATATACATTCTTCAAATACACAGACATACAATAATATGATATCATATATAAATTACTGGCCAATGTCAAAAAACATCGTGTAAATAGTGTTACAGTGTATGTTGTTTCAATGCCTTACATCATTGGAGCCAAATTGTTAGCAAAAACATGATCACATATTAACCCATACATTATCCTGTTCTCTATGAATGTCAAAAGTTTGTCTATAAATAGGAGGCTGGTAATTCTAGATATTTTAAAATGTTACTAGGATACTATTACATGAAATTATGTTAATTTGTAAATTTAGAAGCTGCACAGTCCGGAATAAATTTGAATAAAATATCTCATATATAGTATAAAATATTAACCTGTTGTACAATGGTTTATCATATATAATGTGTATATATATTATCATGATAAGATTTTTTAAAAAGAACATAATTATATAACAGTTTTATGATTATTTATGTGTTTTAAACATGACATAAACTTTATTTTAATTAATATAGATGTGTCTAGACATGTTTTTTTTTCAGTAAATTATGGCATGTTAAAAATCAACAGATAATAGAAATTACCATACAGAGATAAAATGTGAAGTTGATGTATAAAATAATCTTTATATCATTCTATATTATAATTGTATCAGATACAGTGCATCTAAAGAACATTCAACAAATATTAAGGTATTTTGTTGTAGATGTCTTTCAAGTGTAAAGATATAGTAATGTATATCAGTAATGATGTTTTATATTACACCGAAATTGTCAAAATAAAATAAGTATTGCACCACTTTCTTAAATATCTATAAATATTTTCTGACAAAAAAATCCCTGACATTGTAACAATACAAAGTTAAAGATACAATAATAGATACGTCATAGACTGGAAGAGACTGGAAGAGAAGATAGATTATGATGATTCTATATATTATCTGTAACTTGTTGCATGCAGATATTTGCTGGCAACATGCTCACCTAGGTTTTGTCATGTTGCCAGACCTGTTTGCTCAAAGTCCTATGTACATAATGTGTTAATACAACCTTCACGATATTACTTGCCAAGTAACTTACCCTGACATTTTTACCATCAAATACTTACATTTTGACGAATATTGTGTTAACAATATATCATAGGCTTGTTAGTTTTTACAATGACACTAGAAGAGTAACAATTCTCACAATGATATATATACACTGTCAGTAAACCTAGTTAACACTGAAGTTTTATCTTATCAGTAAAATAAAATATTCAGCATTTTTTCAAAATATCAAAACATACAAATAATTGCTGTGCAAAAACCATGACTGCACTATTATACTATGTCAATAACTGAAGATAGACATTTATAAATCACAGCTTATTATAATATTTAACAGATAGATTATTCGCTATAAATTGTATAGTTCCAGCATGTCATATTATGTAGGAAGATGTAATTGATGGAAAAGCATAACTATATTGCTGATTGTATAGAACCAGGATGCAGTGAGTTTTCTGCATTGTTTTATCTTGTAACTGATCTTAATGGTTAAAACAGGCAGGTAAAATATTACATACTTCTTCATTTCAGAAAATAAACACATATAAAATAACACATAAAAAACGCTTTCCTTATTAAAGTGTTACATTATCTCATAACTTATACAGATGTTTTGCCTGCAGATAGAGACAAAGAAAATATAATGCTTATAAATGCAGAAATATACAATAAATTATACAACAAGATATATCCTCTAATGCCCTCATTTCTTACTAAACCAGTTTGAAATATTTTTAACACCTAACAAAGGTCTCGTATAACAAATAAATAAAAACTATAAACACATATAATTCACATATGTAATATATATTCGAGGTTAATGTTAGTAAATGGTTTAGCCGGTCGCAGACATCTGCACAAAACATTCAGTTAAAAGTGGACAAACATAAAAAGGAAATGAATCTCCACACAAAAATAATGCATTATAAACTCAAAATAAATCTCACACAGAAATGTTAAAAGAATTGCACTTAGGAGACGTTGCTGGTTAAAAGGTTGACTGTAAACATTAACTAGTCTACAATTCCCGCCACGAACGTTTACAAGACATATATCCCTGTATGTAAAACCAGTGAGAATTATCAATAGAACTTATCAATATGAAGCGGTACCAATTCAGATATCGTTAAAACAAGTACAAGGCTATATGCAACATATATATATCCCTTATCATTTCCCTTCCCAGCCAAATATTATATGAAGTCATATTAAAATGATTTATTATCTCCCTTACTTCCTATCATCACAGATCAGCTTTATAACTAGGGTCAGCCCAAGCTTCTGGGTTTACACCTTACAACATACGAACAGAATATACAACGAACATATACACGACAATACCAGTGGATTGGTTAAAGCAAGGGGTACAGACATAGCTAATAGCTTTTTGTCCAACCTTTAACGTATACCATTAGCTCGTCATATTCACATTCATTAAACAAAGTTCTTCGTATGACCATCAACGTTTCCTGCCAAAAAACGCTTTCTTGCAAAAATTCGTAAAAATCCCAGCCATTTCATTCAGTTACCTGTTACAAAAAAACAAAAGCAAACACGTTCAATCATCACACAATCTCAATTAAGAAAATCAGCATCATTCTGATTTCAAATGCACGCATTATCATAAATAAAATTAACAAGTTTTATCATGTTCACTTCTAGAATATCATGCAAAACAAATTAAAGAGCAAGGAATGATTTATTAACAAAAAGGGGGTAAATTATATATAAAAATATTTTACTTATCATCAAGGATAAAAGTAATGTAAACTTTACTATTCTAAATCTGGAATAAATTAAACTCAAATCAAATGCAAAATGGTTTAATGAAACGCCTGTATATGCGGAAAATGATACCAAACAGTAACTGTATGTGCAATTAAAATTGTCAATTATAATGTGTATATTGGAGAGGAGGAGGTGTAAGGAACATTGTGTCAGGTTCAGAACAAATTCTTCAAATAGCATTCCCACTTCAAATCCAAGGCATGTTAGATATAATACATGTACGCTTTTCAACAAATTCACTGATCCAATTCGCAGCAACATTTATCTGTACATACGAATATACTTCTCTCGTTGTTTTCTGGTGTTTAAACGTTATCAACTTTGACATTGTTCACCGACTCATCGGAGCCATACCAATGAGTTTCCTTCATTGTATTGTAAAAGTCCATTCTTGGGTAAGCTATGAATATATGAATGACATGATAATGTGTATACATTGATCAGATATATAGATGATGTAACTAAATGCTAACTAAAATGTATTCTGTGGTCATTCTCTACCTAAAGAGGTAAATTTAAACATATGAATATAGCTTATTTTTGTTTAAATCTGGCCAGTCTTGCTGCGACTCCACCTTGACTGTCAACAAATTTTGCTCTTGAAGGCTTTGGTTTATTCTGTCCGTTTTCTGTTGGTTCAGTTATTTTCCTTTTAGGTTTACTTACCTCAGATGAACCATCATCATCTTCTTCTGTTACGGATACTGTAAAAGTACTTTCAGATTCCTCAGCATCTTGCCCAACGGATAATGTTACCGCCGCATCGGCATCAGCATTGTTTTCAATTTTGACCTCTTCATCTACCTCAGTGGATATATCCATAGTAACTTCAGCATCTGTTGAAATCTCAAAAGATGCGTTGCTCTCGGATGCTTCATTTGTATCTATGGTCATTTCAACTACTTCAGATGTTTCATCAGTTTCACCAACTGAAATGCTAAAAGATTGTTCCTCAGCTTGCGTGTCTGTAACAATGTTTATTGTTTGTTCAGTATTCTCTACAATGTTTTCATCTGATGTTATCACTGCTTCTATTTGTGAGGATATTGAAATATCTTCTGATTTACTTTCCGCAAATTCATTACTTGTTTCTTCAACTGTAACAGAGGTTTGCTCTTCTGTGTTATGTGCAGAAACGTTTATTTCGGTGTCTGTTTCTGGCACTAGAAGGGAGGGTCTTCTCGTAGATTGTACGTTCTGTTCTGATACATTTGTTGATGCTTCTATATTAACGTCTATTTCCTCTTGAGGTTTTTCTATAGTGGCAGTTTGAATGGTTTCTGGCATGTCTTCCATAGTTTTAATTTCTTCTACAACAACAGTGGATACAGGTGCTTCTTTCTGTTCTGTAACTTCCGACTGGATTATTTCTTTTTTGACTGAAGTCTCTATAGATGCAACCACTTCTTCTTTCGTCACATTACCTGTAATTTGTTTACTCTGTGACTCTTCCTCAACTGCTTTCTGTGGTTCTTGAACAGCTTGCTTTGACTCAACTTCCACTTCCTCCTCTTGTTTAGAAAGAGATTCGGATTCTTGTTTAGTGTTGATTGCAACATTTTCCTCAACTAATTGTACAGTACTTTCCTTTGATACCAAACAGCCATCCACATTTTCTGATACTGTTTTCTCTGTAACTGATGTAGTCTTGATGGTCTCTTGTGCAGAAGCTACAACAGAAGCACTTAAGCTTTCTGCGAATTTCGTTAGAGATTCGTCAGTTCCGGATTTCACATTGACAGTTTGGGAAGAAATTACTTCTGTAACATTACCTACATCTTGGGAAGGTCTAACTATTTGTTTTTCCGGTTTGATTGTTTCTTCTACTGTTTCAACGGTTTTTACTATTTTTGTAACGACTTGTTCAGTCGGTTTAACAACTTGTTCCGATGGTTTTACAGTTTGTTCCACTGGTTTTACAGTTTGTTCCGCTGGTTGTACAACTTGCTTTGCAGGTTGCACTGTTGATTCAACAGGTTTTGCTACTTGTTGTACTGGTTTAGTTACTTGTGATGTTGGCTGAGCACGCTGTTCTATCGGCTTTACTGTTTGTGCTTGTGCAGCAGGTCTAACATTTTGATTTGCTACTGTTCTTGTCGTCTGTCTCACTTCGAAAGTTTGCTGCGGTGCGGCGCTTGGTGATACAATTTTCAAGTCTAAATCGGCTGCTACGGATGAGACGGTCTCAGTGGCGGGAATAAAGTCATTTGACTTCTGCGGCGAAACAACTGCTTTTTGTCGGTTTGATTCCTTTCTCAAATGAGAATACTGTTCATCGAATTGATAGTTGACAAGTTTCAGTGGTTTTTCTGGTGACCTCCGTTGATGAACAATAACTTGTTGCGGTTGCGGTGCCGATTTTTCATGATGTTGCTGCGTATATTCTTGTTTGGTTTGGTAGTGTTCTTTTGCTTGCTGAAGATATTGTTGTTGACCTGCAGCAGGAGAAAGAACTGACGATTGTGCTATATCTACTGGTGTTGGTCTTTTCCTTCGCCTTGGTTCAGACCCATCGTACGTTTTGGCCGCAACCACTGTTACATTTGGGTCCTGTTGAACACTACGGTCCGGCTCACTTATTAGACTTTCCTCCTTAATATTATAATGCTCCGTCACCTTGTATGGGGACTGACCCTCCTCTGTGAAATTTCTTGGATTAATTTCAGAGAGTTCCTCAAGCCTCCTCCTCCCCTCAGAATATGCCATACGGACTATACCCTCTCCTGGGGTATTGCCTGTCGGCAATACTATACCTTCTTCATTCGCCTCAGAATAACTAAGGGATTCCTGCAATATTTTGAACGATCTAGATTGCACATTTGGATTGGTGTATCCTCTATACTCGGTTGGTTCTTCTACAAGCTCGGTTCTCTGCGGTTTGTTGTAAGCTTGCCGACTGTCTAGTTGATCGACGGCCGCCGACGCATCCCTGAAAAGAAAACTTACGCTAAATACATACGAAGAACTTTTATATTAATAACGTAATACTTTGCAGATGAATTCAACTCCATTTTTTAAAGTAAAAATAAAAAGTAATATAACCGGAATGGTACATAAGCGAGCACGATATGTTTCTTACCATTGTGACTATGAAGATGGAGATATAACTAATTTTCTATTTGAATAAACGGTATTTATATACATAAAATATCACTCATCATGTTTGAAATTGCCCAGCTGGTGCTCCTCATTTTGATTGGTGAACAATTACCTGCATTAAAAGACAACCTGTTAAACCTCCACAATCATTTAGATAGATTCATTATCAGACAATCTAAAATATATACATACAGAACTGTCAATGTGACTTAAATAGTTGAAAGTAACAATGGTAACTGGTACCAAGTAAACCTTGATACATAAATATTTTTTTTTCAATTTGAAGCTTTTAAAGATCTTGCTGTATGTAAATTTAAAATTTCAACTTAAGATATATGGATAAAGGGTTTTTTTTTGCATATAAATGTATTATTACGTAATAATTAAAAACATTAAGATAAAGGCAATAAACCAGTTTCATGACGAGCCTTTTAATTTATGAGATATTAAAGTATTAGTATACATACTTGTTAACGTGTTAAGGTTAAATAGACAAATGTACATTGTATTTTTTACTTTAATTTAATGTCTGCAGACACAGGAAATCGTTGTTTTTTGTTTCGCATGAATGTAACATGTACTCGTACCTGATAATATCAGGTTTGTATATAAACTTGTTGTGATATCTTGTCGAGTTAGCATCAGAACAAAGTGAGGTACTTATCCGCGATAATCATAATTAATCAAAAATCGTGCTTACAAAATCTATCAGCCAAAGTTTTTGGCATTGTTTCTATGGAGATAGAGAGAGAGCACATCATGTATATAACATGTTACCAAAATATAACGGTCTATTTCACAAGCTATTGTTCTTCTTTTGTTGTTTTTGTTTTAAATAATGAAAACAAATGTGCCATATAATCTAATCAAAGAATCAAGTTTAAATGATCCATCGTTTACAGCTTCGTTTTATCCCCCCCCCCCCCCAAATTTATGTGTTGAACTTGTCCTTCTTTGAAATTTGCTAATTAAAGGGATTTTAATGTATTGTATTGGGGTCACTGATTTGGTACTACAGATAATTATAGTGAGTGAATAACCGTCTTTAAAGTTTCAGAGTCTAATGATTCCTACATAATACCACTCATTATTTCATTTAAACTAAACAATCGTTTACAATCAGATAACTGCTGGAAATGGTCAGTATATACAGCAGCCACTATTTAATTAAGGCAATCCGGTTTTAAAACCAATCCGTCAGCGTACTTTCATGTTCGTTATTTCAAATGTCATAATTATCCACAATAAGAGTAAGACCGCGTTGTATAGCTACTATTAAGACCACCATTCTATTATCTTATATTTGTTATAACTATCTGACTGAATGCTCTAAAAATGAAAAGTTTTAAAAACTGTTTTGATAAGAATGCTATACACAGAGTATACAATAATGCAGTGAGAAAAAGATGCTGCGTTTTGCGCTATTATTTTGTGCTAATAAAACACATATACGTATATCGTATAATGAGCATGCAAGCAGAATTCCCTCCTAAATTATGTTCTGACATAATCTGATAAAATATTACTATATTTTCTTTTCATATAAGTTTTGGAAAGTTGAAATACATACTGTTTGAGCATGTTAATATAAAATGGCCAAAAAATGACCTGTGACATGAAATATCTCAGCCATTAACTAACGAAACCACCCACAAATAGCACCACGAACTCAATCTAATGGTTGGCTTTATTAAGAAACCTGCTGCCTATCAAGTAAAAGAAGACAATATGTTGAAGAAATATATTAATTATCTACGTTTATAATCTAGTAATGTTTATAATAGATGGATGAATGAAATTACGGATCATTTAATATTTCCCTCTGACAAGTGAAGGTCGTCTGGCAATTGTTACAGACATCAGTTCCAGACGATTTTCAAGAGAATTGTAAACTTTTCAAGGAGAGAAAGTTCCAGTTGGCGTCATTCCAAAATTGTGTCAAAACAACACCACCGCAAGTAACAGTTTTTATTATAACTTCAAGTAGTTTTCCAAGTAAATATGCCAAGATTTCCAATTAGTATGAAATCAGCGTAAAGAAATATTAAATTAGTTACAGGAATCTTATTCACCATTTATCAGAAGTTATTCTTTTATTATTATATATTTGTGTTCCATGTGAAACCAATTCAAATTGTAACACATTTCAATCATCCACATTTAAAGAGTTAAAAGACTATGAAAATTTCAAACAAAAATATCTAATAGGATGGTTATTAGTTACTTAAATAATGACATGCATGTTATACGATGACCTATATTAATATTTTATTGCTTGCCAACTATTGTTTATCAAACAAGTATTAAACAACAAAAAATAGATATTTGTCTAAATAAAATTATATGTACTACGATATAAAACATATATTTAAAACATAAGTCCATGTACTAGTTACCTTGGTAATTTTGGAGAAAGAAAATTCTTTTATATCGACCTTTAATAACGCAATAATTACATACATGTATATTTTGTACATATATATTAAATACCTACATAAAGCAATAGAATAAATTTTTGATTGTTATATACAGAGATATAATTCCATACGTCCAATATTCGACAAAACTTTAAGTTACTTTATCTTATAAGAGTTTATTGATATCTTTTCATACAAACAATAATGTGTCTCGCCAAGAAAATTCTTACCTTTGGACGATGAGGTCTAATTCATTTCCGGCTCGGATGATTTCCATTTTGGCCATTTCGTGGCTCATATTATGAGCCTGGACTGATCCAATGGCCAGAAGCCGGTCTCCAACCCGCAACCCGAGGCGATGAGACAGACTCTTTGGATTTACCTGTAAAACAAGTTTATGTATGAACATTATTTCGAACCTCGTGCTATATAGTATGTAAAACAAGTAAATGTTTGAAATGATTTCATACCTCGTGCTATAGAATGTAGAGAATATGATTTCATTTATAATAATGTTGTCCCATTATGCATCGTTTGATATGCATCTTTCTGTAAGATATCTGTTTCACTTATATTTTGCTTTATTCAATATCACAGAGAAAATGTCTTGTTAAAATAATTATTTAAACGTGACATTTCATGTTTTATTAGTAATACCATGGCGACTTGAATAAGAAGAATTCTTTTGCATAACAGGACTTTCAGAAAATCTTTCGTCTTAAATAATTGTATATAATTTACACATTACAATCGGTTGTAGAGATGTAAAGATTCAAAGAAGTTAAAACAGCATGAAGGTCTATCAAATTTAAGCAGATTTTGATTTATTGTAGATTATTTATTGCAGACTTCAAAACATGTTCGCGCAATTCGGTGTATGTTCCTCATAAACCCAAGCACATCACCCACGCATGCTGGAGGGTAGCAAGTGGAGGATCTCAATGTTAACATGATTATAACTTCTTATTTATGCCAGGATTTTGTTATCTTTAAAACTTCCGTTATCTCGGCTTGAAACTGTTTAAAAACATTTGTCTTTTATCAATGTTTACGCTTTATCTAACAACAATACGCCATGTCTAGAGAACTAAATATGATTAACTTTAAATAAGAATGAAACTTATATTATATAGTGTAGAACACTTTAGCCGGTGCTAGGGGCGTGAGAGACGTTGCACTTTCCCATTTCCTTCATGAACGGACTCGATTAATCCAAGCCTGCATTTTTTTGCTTTCTTTGCTTCAAGGGATCGCCCTTTTTCCAGATTTTCTAGAATGTTGTAGAATGCAAGTGCAGTTGGGAATCGATTGCAACTGCTTTTATGCATTACTAGTACATGTAATGGCACGTGCAGTTATATAATGATTATAACAGCAGTTATTTAATGATTGCAATTACTGTTTATTACAGATTGCAACTGCATTAAGATATGATCTACTGCAACTGCGGTAGATGTTGATTGCAATGACAGCGAAACATTGATTGCAAAAGACATGTAGATATTGATTAGAATTGCAATAACACATTTCAAAATATCAATTGCAATGCATTAAAACGAAAATAAGAATTGCAAACAAATTTTTTGGCTAAAAGTTACATCTGAACCTACGTGAATTCTAATAACAAATTCATAATTTGTTTACTAGTATTTCTATTTTTTGCCCGACACTACTTTTAGAAAAGGTATTCGTATTCTTTATTTTGGGTTATACAAACATTGTAATAAGTAGGTAAAACATATTGTTTACTTTAGATTGTTATCTTAAATGTCGTGTGATCGATACTCAATCATTGATATAACCTTTAGTTATACTGACACTAAAACTGGGTAGCACGTACAATTAAATGTTGAAACATGAAGATATAATATATCTACACATGACAATGTCCAATTATCTCAGTTAAAGTGCTTTATAACAACGTATCATCACAGAACAAATCAATAACTACCTAATTAATCATAATTCTACAGTGTAACTCCATAAAATGACCACTTATGCTGATACAACCATTACAAGTTTATTTTACAGAGTCGTAAAAGAATTTTCATAATTCTTAAAATAAAAAGAAGAAATGAGATCGGGCATCTTCTAAAAAAAAAACCGATCCGTGTTATTTCATTTACAAACTAATAAGTAAATTTATTTTGTGTATATTTTCGTGTCTTTCTATTTAGATGAGATTTTTTAGAGAGAAGTTTAATGGGCTGTCCGTGAGACAACTATGTTACTATATAATATGTAGTGACCAATACACTACCTAATGCTTTTAGACTCAAACACAATATACATATTTTATTTGTTATGCATTTTAATGTAATAATAACACACATAGCATGTAGTCATATCACAGATACTTGCTAGTTTTATAATACATGTAATATTAGGGGTATATGAAATAAGATTAATAATGCCTTTCTGTGACTAAAAAAGCGTTGGTAACGGTTTTAAATAGCAGTATAAAAATGTGATGAGAAGCTGGGAGAGTTGGTATTTTAAATTCTAAAGACATTATAATCAGCTGAGATATGCTGGAGACTTAACCTTTCTTTTCTCTTTGGATCGGAAGATAAAAGTATTCTTTTTATATAATTGTCTGAAGTTTACAAATGTCCATAAATCATGTCACACCAGCAAAAGTATATTTAATAGTCAGTATTATAGTGAATACTATAAACTCGAATGAAAACACTGCGCGAGGGCGATACTGGTACGTGAATTAATTAAACAGTAAGTCGAGATGTCATAGGACTGTTAAAGTGAAGAATAGGCCGTCAAAAGGCACTATTTTGTTGCGCGTATTACGCTTAAATAAATCAACTCTTTTGACACACATTTTGTTCATTATAAACGTAGAAAGGTAAATATTTATACTGCCAACCAAGACTTTGAGAATAAAGGGACTCTATAGAGATATTTTAACGACCTTTAAAACTAATTCAAATAATTCATTTTGACATTTGCAGCAGTATATAAACTGGACCCTGACATTATATCATAATTAGAGCAAATTTTGAGGACAGTTTACATCTCGTTATCTAACAAATGTTCTCTAAATGTCCTATTATCTTTACTTATAACTATAAAGTAGTTTTATAAACTCCTATATATATATAAAACCTCTTTTTGAATGATATACATTGTATACATATTTCAATTAAGTCACAAACCTGCTGTATAAAGAGATGTGATCCATACTCGTGCCCCCCTTGCATTCGAAATCCCCAAGGGGTGCTGGTGGTGTTTCTCCTTAAACGCACTGAGACCACTTGATCCTGCGACATTTTGACAACTATTTATTTTACAAATTAATCCTTGAAAAAAAAATTTAATCCGCACAATCTCTTGCACTACACTAGATCCAATATTAAGTCCGTCCGACCGTACGTCCAAACTGAAGCGCTACCAACTTTGTTCCTTACGAAAAATGCTACCTGTGTGTAAGCTAAAACGCCAGTTAATGGTTGGACAAGAAAAGTCTGCGAGAAATTATCAATATATCTACATATCACGTAGAACAGTGTAGGTGTATACATACAAAAACCTGGCAATACGTTATATATGTATGATACGGCGTATGCTTTATACCTATATCTACTGAAAACTCTATATTCACGGGGGAGGAAGTGTTACACGAAGGATGGAGTTCTTATGATAACTTGTTTGGAGTTCTTATGATAACTGTCACGGAGTTCCTGGAAAACGTTACGGATTTCTGTGGAAAACTTTTCTATTTACTTGGAGAAATCACGTGAAAAATGGTCATTTTAACTTTAAATGGGGAGTTTGAGGTGCTAAATTAAACTTTGATAATTAAGCTTGCCCTACATATTGTATAATGTTTCAGAAAAACCTTTTATTCCATTTTTCATCGCCTTTTTATAAAAAAATTTGGTAGTTTTGAGTAAAATTTCCAAATTACTTGCTCATTCATACATATTGACCTCTTCATTTGTGATCTTCTTCGTTGCTATACATAATTACATAATTATAATGCAGAGTTGCAGACATAAAGCCCAGGCTAATAAATTTATACCCGATTTTTCAAATGTCATGGAGTTCTTGTGATAACTCAAAATATGTCCTGGAGTTCTTATGATAACTTTTGTTACTGCCAGTGTGTTTCTTGTGCTAAATTACGGCCCGTTTAAGCGTATTTTATTAGTCAATAAGTGTAAATCATTATGAAGCATAGTACGCGTATCATTTGCACACACATTTGGTTATATAACGGTGGTTTAGAGTGTATTTCAGTTCAAGAGATATTCTCTTACCTCCGTTTCTTGTGTTTTTTTTTTGTGTTTGGGTTTTTGGGTTTGTTTGATTGTTGTTTTTTTCCATTTCATTGGAATGACTGAAAACATACTTGTTGTAGAGCATTTAGTTACAGGATAAAAATACGCTTTGAATTTAATATTTAAGCATGATTTCCTGGCAGTTCTAGAAAACATAAAGTAATTATGCTATCGGTCTGCCGAAACAAATTACATGTAAATGGATGGTTTGCAGCAAAAAAGGAAGGAGTATGCATTACCTTTATCTAAATTTAATGAGGTGTGTGTCATCTTTATATATTCAATGGATATCTTAATTTCTAAAAGGTATAAATTTTGTCATAGAAACGTATAAAGTTCTATGACAATGATATGACAATAGAAAGTAAGAATTTAATAATATATGTGAGTCACCATTAAAGGCTTACTTTCTATTGTCATATCATTGTCATAGAACTTGATACGTTTCTATGACAAAATTTATACCTTTTAGAAATTAAGATATCCATTGAATATCTAAAGATGACACCCACCTCATTCATTAAATTTAGATAAAGGTAATGCATACTACTTCCTATTTTGCTGCAACCATTTACATGTAATTTGTTTCGGCAGACCGATAGCATAATTACTTTATGTTCTCTAGAACTGCCAGGAATAATGTATACATGAAGAAATCATGCTCAGATATTAAATTAAAAGCGTATTTTTATCATGTAAGTAAATGCTCTACAACAAGTATGTTTTCAGTCATTCCAATGAAATGGAAAAAAACAACAATCAAACAAACCCAAAAACCCAAACACAAAAAAACCCACAAGAAACGGAGGTAAGAAAACTATCTCTTGAACTGAAATACACTCTAAACCACCGTTATATAACCAAATATGTGTGCAAATGATACGCGTACTATGCTTCATAATGATTTACACACTTGTTGACTAATAAAATACGCTTAAACGGGCCGTAATTTAGCACAAGAAACACACTGGCAGTAACAAAAGTTATCATAAGAACTCCAGGACATATTTTGAGTTATCACAAGAACTCCATGACATTTGAAAAATCGGGTATAAATTTATTAGCCTGGGCTTTATGTCTGCAACTCTCCAATATAATTATGTAATTAAGTATAGCAACGAAGAAGATCACAAATGAAGAGGTCAATATGTATGAATGAGCAAGTAATTTGGAAATTTTACACAAAACTACTAATTTTTTTTATAAAAAGGCGATGAAAAATGGAATAAAAGTTTTTTCTGAAACATTATACAATATGTAGGGCAAGCTTAATTATCAAAGTTTAATTTAGCACCTCAAACTCCCCATTTAAAGGTAAAAATGACCATTTTTCACGTGATTTCTCCAAGTAAATAGAAAAGTTTTCCACAGAAATCCGTAACGTTTTCCATGAACTCCGTGACAGTTATCATAAGAACTCCAAACAAGTTATCATAAGAACTCCATCCTTCGTGTAACACTTCCTCCCCCGTGATATTGTTTGTTATTTTACATACTGGTCGAAACTTCTTACTTTATATACTAACATAGAGTAGTCGGTGTGACGTAGGGGCTACTAATACATAAAGTGTTTTAAGTAGGATTAATTGAAGATGCAAAGATTCGTCACTAACTAAACTCTTAATAAGGATTAGCATTAAGTACTTTAAAACCTCTTAATTAACTACTAGTAAGTGTCATAAAAATGCATACACATCATTTGACTGGTATTTAACGAGAGAGATCGTTTGATAAATGCTGGCACATGTTCCTACGTCATCTTTTTATATTAAGAAAGAAAAAGTATTGCAAAAGAAAGCAAAAATTACCACATAAAAGTACAACATTTTGGTATGTACTTTATATCGTTTTATAACATTACGTGATGTTATGTCATGTATAGATAGACTATAAATCCCCTTTTTTACGAAATACAATGATTACACTATTCTGTTTTAACAGTTTTCATAAACAAACGTGCTGAAAGACACAAGTATAAATTTCTTCAATGTGGACACTGGCAGGCCGGACTGGATCCATGCACGTTTGCTACACAAGTTTATCTTCGGCAGGATCATATAGTTAAAACTATGATAGGAGATGAAAAAATGGGAAATACTCCACGTCCACTTGATCATGGAGCTAAATTTAAGATTGTTTATATATCTGTGACTTGATTCACAAAATCAATATAATATCTTTTCTATTGAAATAAATGAAATTTTGGGAAAAGTACTGCGGGATAATAAAAACAATAGTGAGTTACTGTTTAAAACAATGCATTTGGTAAATTTGTCAAGGTGTCTTAATACATTTAATTTTTGATATTATTTTTTGATATTATACAGCTTTTTCCTATGATAACGTGTTAGCTGCCACACTGTATCTGGCTGGAAGTTTATGCCAGTGTTAGCCACGTGTATCACAGGTAGTTGGCTTATCAGCCGATTAATGAAACAAGGCAGATAATCATTAGTGCTAATGGATTTTTATCTACCTGAACCTCTCCTATATATAGAGCATAGTGAACGATTTTATTTTAATGAGATATTACAGGCGCGCATGATTGGGTTGCTAGTATAATTTGTTTGAAGTACTAGTTATGATATTGATACGGGCATTATTTCTAAAGGTCCTTCGGTTACTGTCGTCCATTAAAAACAAATTAATCTTAAATATTTCTAAACTTTAAGATTTATTGAATCGTTAAAAACTCTTCCGAATTAATAATGGTTTAATTCATGTTAACTGTAGGAATGTTAGAATAAAATAAAAACTTTTTGAGGGTAATAATTAAAATGAAATTAAGATCATTATAAATAAAAGAACTTTATCCTTTATTTTGGTACAAGTATATTCAAATTTTATAGATATACGCGTGGCTATTAGTAACATGGATTTCGATTTTAGGAGCACTGAAATTGTTTATTTTTATTATTAAAAACAACACACTTATATATCTAGATGTTGATGTTTATAAAAACTAGCAAAATAACTTTTTTTATCAGCTTTACAAATAAAAGTATGTAACCACCCTCCCCTAAAAAGAAGAAAAAAGGCAAATAAAAACATCAACACCACCAACTAACATCAACACTTACTAAGTTCTATTAATTGTAGTGGTTCATTTCAGGGACATTTAATCCAAAAGTCGTAAGGTCTAAATGATCAGCTGTCATTGCTTGTCATTAACGTGCCTTACAAAACTTAATGAAAATCTAAACAGTGCTTACAAAGAAAAACTTTTTCAATTAAAATTTTGCTGAATGTATATTTTATCACACGAGTGACATGTAGAATTGACAAACAAATTCGTAGAAATGACATTCCCTGCCTACTGAAACAAATCACTTAGTTAAATCCTCTTAGTGATTGGTGTGTCAACAGTGCTTTTCTTGTTATGATAAAAAGCTCTCGTAATAGAAATACCTTATATTAACATAAATAACATACTTGTGATTTAATTACATGTATTATTATGACGTGTGTACTTTCATTTGGTCGTTAGTTTAAAGTACCAAGAATTTCAATTCTTTGAATGAAGAGTAGAGAAACACATGCAAATTCAATGAATTCAAAGTTTACATATAAATTAACTCTGATTTATTTGGCAATGCTAATTGTGAAATATACATGTAGATTTTTGGATATACTATGGAGAGTCACTACCCTATGAAGATACTAATAATACCATTGTGAACTTTGTTACATAAATGTTTGATGAATTGGTCTCCTTTCTGTTCAAAATTGTCCACTATGAGTAAACTTTTGGGCTTCTAGACAGAAATGCCTATAAATTATCCTTATGGCATAGTTGAAAAACACAAATGTGGATCATAGCTGTAACTAACATTTTCCCTCATCAATAAACTTCTAGTAAATTTTGATTAAAAAAACTCACAAAACAGTTCAATATTTGTATCTGGATAGGATTTTCTCTTGAGGTTATTACGTTATAAATGTACAGTATAATTTATTATGATGAAATGTAATGTGTATCTTTTTCTTAGTGATACAGACATTTATGTCAACATACGAGGGGTGTCCAAATTGTAATGCAATTAAGGGCATATCTCATACTTTTGCACCCAAAAGTTATTTGTCTCGTGTAGAGGCATCAATTAGCCTTTCAGTTGATATAACTCCTGTGTAAATCCGTTCAATACAACTAAAACAGTTTGTACTGCTTCAGTTTTCGCTGACCAAATACGCTCTTATATTAAAAACCGCTGTGTTCTTAATATACGTGCTCATGACATATGTTAAGAAATATGTTCTATTTATGGACATGATATGTTCTATGCATCAGTTACAAGATTGTGTAAGAAATTTC